AACTTGTATGCCACCCATCTCCCCCAACGGGTGACTCTGGGTGGCTCACAATAACAAAAAAAGGAAAAAACACCAGTCCCTCCAACAATGGCTAAAATCCATAAGCAATTAAAATAGAAACATGCATTAAAAATGTCCTAAAAACCCCCTATAAATTTTTGCCCTAAAACCTTCAAGATGCTGGGGAGGGGGGGCAAACCCATCACCCCACCAGCCATCTCCACAGATGCGAGCCCCCATCTGGCCCCCAGGCCTTCTTGCTGGGGAGGGGGGGCAAACCCATCACCCCACCAGCCATCTCCACAGATGCGAGCCCCCATCTGGCCCCCAGGCCTTCTTGCTGGGGAGGGGGGGCAAACCCATCACCCCACCAGCCATCTCCACAGATGCGAGCCCCCATCTGGCCCCCAGGCCTTCTGGCAGAGCCAGGATTTAACCCTTTTTCTGAAGGCCATGAGGGAGGGGGCACACTGGACCTCGGGAGGCAAGATGTTCCATAGGGCAGGAGCCACAGCAGAAAAGGCTCTCTGCCTAGACCCCACCAATTGAAATTCCTTGACTGGTAGGGTCTGCAACCTGCCCCTTCTGCTGGACCGAGTGGGGCGGGCTGAAATAACCAGGGCGAGGCGGTTCCTCAGATAACCTGGTCCCATGCCATGAAGGGCTTTAAAGGTGATGACCAACACCTTGAACTGGACCCAGAAACAAACTGGCAACCAATGCAGCTCACGCAACAGCGGTGTTATATGTGCCCTCCAAGGGCATTGAGAACTGTCCGCGCCACCATATTCTGCACCAGCTGTAGCTTCCAGATACTCTTCAAGGGTAGCCCCATGTAGAGCGTGTTACAGTAGTCCAACCCGGAGATGACCAGGGCATGAGTGACCATGGACAATTGGAGAGGATCCAAACTATTGATTACAGTGTGTCAACAGAACTGCTGTGTGGCAAAGAGCTTTGATGTAAGATTAATATGAGTATTTATAGGCTACACGCATACCGCAAACATGACATATGCAATAATATAATGAGGCAATGACAAGACCAGACCATTGCTTCGGAATTAAGGTAAGATGCATTGTTTGTACGTTGTTATGGAGCGTGTGTCGTAAGGACGTAAAGATTATTCAA